TTTTTTACCTGCTTCCTTTTCTCAAGGATTGCGTATTTTTCTCCAGTGGCCTTCTGGTTACTTGTAGAGTAGCAGGGCTCCCAGCCTGTTCCCGGGGAGCGTTCAGCTGGAAGTTGGCCAGATTTCCAGGAGGAATCTCAAAAATGCAGCTGAACTTCTGTTCCCTAATTAGGCCAAGTTCCCCGGTGAGAGCCCCAGCACTGTGTGGCCCAGGCTCCCCAAGGCCTCCTGCTGCCTCTCTCCTGTGTACCCCAAGTACCTGGCTGGCAAGGCAGCTGTTTTCAATTTCCTGAGATTATCTCAAGCCTTTTGATGACACCTACTCAAATAGCATTTCTAGTCAGCTGTGTTCCCCAGCTTTTTTAGTGGTATCCTTCCTGCTTGGCCACCTTGATTTGGGTTATGGGCAAAACCTGAAAATCCCATGGAAAATAATTTTATTATCAGCTTTTCTTTTTTCTTCCATGCATTTTCTTCATGCTTCAAGTGCTCCCAGGACCATTTGAAGGCAGCAGAACTGTAGAAGGGATGTAGGTGGATGTGAATGTCTGTCAGTATATAGCACAAGGTAAAAGCAAGTGGGTTGAGAGACATTTACATCTTGGAGGGCTAGAAGTGGCATGGTCTTGTAACTGTGGTTGTGAGAGGTTTCTACCTGGTAATCCTTTGCTGGTAGAATCAGATTGTTGTGCACTGTTTTCATGCAGAGGTGAACAGTAACTCTTGAGACAAGGTATCACACACTACATATGACAGCTTCCCTAGCAGGTGCACATGCTACTTAACCAGAGCTAATTCTTGTTTTAGGGAAGAGTTCTTGTCAGCTATTTAACAAGATGAGCTGTTCCTTTACTTGCTGTGATAGATGTCAAAATATTTGAAGCTCCCCAAGAAATGTTTCCATCTCAATAGCCTTTTCCTTAATAAAGGGATGTCAGTGACTATGAAGAACAACAGACTGGAAGAAATGAGAATCCAGTGTTTTCTGTTAGGCACTGTAGATGTGCAGAAGTCCTTGGAGGAGATGCATTACTTCTGCAGTCCATGGATGTGATAAAGAAGGCCAGCAGAGATGGGCCACTTTTTGCAAAAATACAAGGCTTGCATACAATTGGGAACAGATCCCTTTTTGATATCATATGTGCTTTGAGATGTGAATAGGTTGTGAATGTTATGTGGCTGCTTAGAAGTAGCAGGACTGTTTGACTTACAGCTCCTTAATGAGCAACAGTCAGAACTAATTAGTGAGGACTGTTTGCGGAGATCAGCTTTCCTGCAGTCAGGGAGCCTCTGGCAACTTGCTGGAGGAGCGGAAACTCGGGTCTGGCCATATTCCTTTCTGCTTCATGGCCATTATTGGATGAAAAGAAGGTGCTTACGTGCCGAATAAAAATATCACCATGTTTGTATATGGAGAACACAGATCTCACACATTTTAAGGAGATGTACTGCACAAGAGAAAGATTGCGTGTCCTCTGTTGTGTACTGTCAATGTCATTTGAGTCCCTACCTCCCTGCATGGAGTGCTTGCTGTTTCAAAGGAGTTGTCATGTTGGTAAAGATAAATTAATCCACATTTCCAGATCTTCCTGAGAATCTGAGGGACCCAAAATGCCCATAATCTGCCTGTGTCATGGTGGGTCCCAACAGAAGCATCACTGGATCCTCCAGTTATTTGCTTCCATGAGGGAAGCAACACCCAGCTAGCACCTTCCAAGCTGCAGACATGAGCCGACAAGTAGCCTGGAAATTTCTGCCTTAATGAGGAAGCTGGATTAGAATCTTACATCTGTCTGATAAGAAAGATCCTGAAGAAGGAGGTAGAATTTCTTCTTTAATAAAAGAGAGATGGGATTCAGGTAAGCTGAGCAAGGCCAGTAGTTTTCCAAATGGGAGATAAAATCCTGATTGTGATGGTAGTATGAAAGCATTGGTAAGAGTGCCTGGGAAATCCTGCCTTCGGGAAGATGGCACCAAACTGAATTTCTGAGAAAAAATCAGTAGGAGATACAGAACATGGCAACATGCCTGAAAAAAAGAGAGAGTCTGCAGAAACTGAGATAAGGGAAATCTGGAGATAAGGAATTGACAACTCAAGCAGAAAAGCAAGCCATGGTGAACAAGTGATTAGTTAATGGTGTGAAACCAACTGAGCAGCAGCAGTTGAGAGAGAACTCTTTTGTCAGGAGCTCTGTGTTCTGTTTGTGGATTCTCTGTGTTCTGAACACTAAATCACTTTGGGTGCATAGTTTTGTACATGAAATGAAACTCTTGCCTTTGATATGGCAGGTAGTACTGACAGGTTCTGATCATTTTAAAGCCCACAGTCGTTTTCATCAGGAAGATGTGTTCAGGAGCACATTTACTCCATGACAGAAGAACAGCATCTTTCATTTCTGCTCTGCTTCCTCTGGCATTGACATTCTTCTCACTTTCTGTGTCAAGCTTGCTTGCAGCTGCAACTTCTCTGTGACCATATTATGGCAATGCACAATGTTGCATTTGCAATTGTAAATTACATTTTAGAAGTGGGAAAGGTAAGTTTATTTACTTGACAGGAGTGCTTGTGGCATGTGACCTTATTATAGCACTTTCCAGGCAACTAACAAAGAAAAACTATTTATTCTCAGCTGACAGGTAACGTTGCCTTTCCTGTTGCTAGTGCTCCTGTGGGCAGCTCAAAAAGAATTACCTGATTTATTGCAAGAGGAATAAAAGGGCTGTAGGTGTATGTGAAGTGTTTGTCAGCATCTGCCAGACATTCAGGGCTGCCTGATGCGTATGATCAATGGGAATACATTATAAAACTGGGAAGACATGGGAACCAACCCCCTAAACACAGTGGAGTCACATCCTGTGCAAGGGCTGGGGAGCCATTCTCACCACAATTCTATCTGAAGTGCCCAACTTTGCTTCTTTTGGAGCTGAAGAAGGATTTTGGTGATTATTAATTAAATTGCTAGTGCACTGTCGTGCCTTGGAAATGCTGTGTTTTCCCTCAGCCTTACGCCCAGGTTCTTTGGTTACATTTGTGTTCAGGAGCAAGGCCTGCTGGCTACCAAGGGGATGATGCAGGGTAAGGAAGGAGAAGGGCTGTTTGTGTGGGAAGGATCAGTGTGGGAGGGAGTGTGTTTCTGAGGTGGGGATGTGTGTAATGGGAATAGGGATGTTTTTGTGGGCATGCACGCCCATATGTGGTGTGTTTTTCCCCATTTTCCTGGGCTTTGGGTGTGTCCAGATCAACTGAATTCAAAATGCTCCTTTTTTGGCACTGTAGCCTCTTCTCTGGTTTGGCATCTTAAGAATCTGGGGAAATCATTTCAAGATCAGAAAACTTCATTCACTTGGGCCCCCAAAGGCTTCACATTCTGTGACATGGTCATTCCAGTCGACTGAGCTCTGTCCCCTGCGGATGAGCCCATATAAGGAGGCTGTTTCCTGCGTTTCACGCTCCCTGCCTGTCCCTCTGCCCTCCTGTGCTCCCTTTGCCGAAGAAAGCTGGTATTTTGGGACTGCAGCTCCTGCCTCATTCCTGCTCCCTGTTTATTTTTGGAGAATGACTATTTTTGCTCCTATCAGGGAGCTATGCAGGGTCGTGCCCCCTCCCTGCAGCAGGCAGTGGCTGCCCCTGGCAGGCTCTCTTCATTTCCCACACTCACAAACAATGCTTCTGTTTCAAGAAATAAACATGGGAGACCCCCACCTCTGGGGGTTAGTTCATCCCCTTCCTCATCTGTGATAAGAGACAATTTGGCTTTGGCTCAGGTTTGACCCCACCTCACAAGCAAGCTTCCCCTTGTCAGGTCAGAGATCCTCAGGAGTCAACCAGCCCATTCGCTTTCTTAATAAAAGCTTTGGGAGCTGTATGTCCTCTTTCCCTCACCCCAAATTAGACTCCTTTGCATTTACCACGTTTTCCCCATTTTTGGACATTATTTTACCCAATTATCCTGAAGGATCGTTCCTTCATGAGTCTGTTGCAGCTGGGCATCATCAGCTGAAACAGACTGCCCAAGAGGTGGTAGAATCACCATCTCTGGAAGTGTTGAAGAGCCATGTAGATGTGGCACTGAGAGACATGGTTAGTGGGCACGGTGGTGATGGTTGGGCTGGATGATCTTAGCAGTCTTTTCCAACCTTAATGATTATACGATTCTGTGATAATCAGGAGCTATATATAAGTATTCATCCACTGGGTTCAACTTACTTCTACTGCTTTCGGCATTGCATGTTGTGTAGAATACTGAAGTTACTGCTGCATGAGGTGCTTCAGGCAGTGGGCTGGGCCCCAAACTACAGAAGGCATTGGGCAGTTCTCACATGGTGGGCCTAGTATTTGGAAATTCCTGTTGTGAGCCCCAAGTCGAATTCCTGTTTTCTCTTGCCGTGCAGCCAAGTGCCACACGAGACAAAATAGCAGGGAGTGTCTATAAGCTCCAAGTGAACTTTCCCTTTATCGTCCCAGAGGTGGTGATGGCAGGGTTCATCTTGCCTAACTTTACAGGTCTTTGGTATAGTTGTCATCTGACTTCTTATTCAGTGGAGAAAAGCAGATCTTTCTAGGGAATGATTTGTAATCTAAAATACTATGTCCAAAATGTGTGCTGACTGACTTGTGTCCTAGCAAACATGTAAAACATGATGCTCCCACTTGAACTGTGAGCAGCAGTAGCGAAGGTGTTCCCAGTGAAGCATGCTCTGGATTGCAGCATATCCTCTGCAGATCAGCTGTGCTTTGTCTCTTGAGCAAGTCAAAGGCACGCAGACCTGCAGCTTGTCAAGATACTGACTGTATCAGTCAATCCTGATCAGCAGTGTATGTCCTGCTTACACAGACGTATAAAACTATCTTAAATTTCTCTTATTTTATGAATAAGCAGCACTTTAAGCATTATCTCTCCATCTGTTTGGTAAATTGTTGCCTGTGTATTTGTGGAGCTGATGTAAGAGTTGGCTTGGCAGGAGCTGGCTGAAAAGTTTCTCTTTTTTTTTTATTGAAGGAACCACCGCCTAAACCCCCACGCCGACAAGGAGGCTGGGCAGTCGATCCTGTGCTGGCGCCTACCAAGTGAGTTCTCACCTCTTTCTTTATTAATAGGGGCTTCAGCATGGATTAACTGAATGTCACTGGTTGGGCTTTGGAATTGCAGGCACTGGAAAAGTTTTTTCTGGATCTTGCAGTTGGTGTCTCCAATATCCTTGTAACCCCTTGAAACCATTTGAGATATTGCTCTTGCTTCGTTCCACTAGCAAATGCTCTGTGTTGATTGATCTGTCTGGGCTATGAAGTGCGTTTACATCGCTGTCTGGAGGAGGCAGTGTGTTCCTCACCTGGTATAGTCCATGTGGGATTCCTGGAAGGAGTCAATAAGAATGTTAAATACAGAAGCTGGGGGTGGGATTTGATTGTCCACGTCCTTTCCAGGAGAGTGACACATGTCAGTGACCCACTGACAAGCATGCAATGAACTGTTCAGGATTCAGTGATTATCCTTGATGGTAAAGATGAAATTTATTAATGTTTATGTGTGTATGGGCTTGTGGTATAATGGAGATGGATGGAGGTGGTCCGAGAGAAGAGATGGAAGAAAAAATTATTCAAATTGTAGAATGTATGTTGAAAAGTCTCCTTCTTATGAAGGACACATGAAGAGAAATACCCAGATATGGTAATAGGATGGATATCAGAACTAAGGGGCAGTTCAGACCAGAAGGAGGTCTCAATCTATTTGTTACTTATCGATCTGTAAAGTTACCTTGCTTGTATTGTACACTTGCTATTCACAGGACTTGAAGGGCTCTGCCATTGAGTGGTGTGAGTTTGCTTGTATATATTAAGGCCTTTAGTAAGAGTGCATTTGTCTGGACGTGTTTTGGAGACACCGATTTCTGGAAAAAGTTACATATTTTCTTTCTTGGAACCTTTAGAATGGGACAGCACATCTAGAGACCTGTTACACAGTTGGTATTTCCTGGGAGCTGAGAAAGATGGTCTACATTCTAGAAAACAGTACTTTTTTGGTAAAATTATGACTCGCTCTTTGTCTCCAAAGAATATATCAGCCCTTTGTAGAACCAAGCTGAAGCTTATGGAAATGTGATAGTAAAGAACAAGGGTGAATTGCGTTGCTTAGGAAAAATAAATCATGTAATTGGTGGCTATGTGAGGGACTGGATAGGAGCTAATTCAGTTATTCAGAGCTGAACCTAATGTGCCCTGAAGGACAATGCTCAGGTTCCTAATATAATGGCACTGTGCTATGTGCTGCTGTAGGATGTTTTCTGTGGTTTAACTTGAGCCTTATCAGATAGATTTGGAGCAGTAGTTATCAGCAGTGCTCCTCCAGCATCCCAATTGCATGGATTATGGATATACCAGGTGCTTGGAGTAAACACTCCTACAAGATTGGAAGCAGAGCAAGGGCTGCAGACTTTTCTACTCAAAGGACCCTGCCTAGTGGGACATAAGATGAAGACATGCCCCTTGCTCATTCATGCATATAGTACTGTGTCACACTTGACAGTAAATTCTCTTCCTTTGTATTAAGAGCTTTTATGAGATAAATTTTATGAAGAGAAGGTTTGCTCTGACATTCTTTAGTTGTAGGAAGGATGAGGCTTTTGTACAGCTTTTCCCCTGTCATTTCTTTCCTTCAGCTGCAGATTCTTGATAGGCTGATCTCTTTTCCTTTCCCTCAGAAGCCTGAGATGCTGGCCTGTAAGGCTGTCCTTGTGACATATCCCAGAGTTGAACCTTCATGTGAAAAGTCTGAGTCATCGATGGGCTGATGTCATACCAATGTTGCTGTAGCTTTCTTGTTTCTGTTTTCTCAGGCTTTATCTCCCCATAGCTTTTCTACCAATTTGTCTCAGTTTGAAAGACTATCAAGTCATTGCTCCAATTTCACTGGGATAGCTATCGATACACTAGAATAAAGTGTTTCTATTAACATATCTGATGCAGCCATAAAGGGCTCTTATGCCAATGTAACTCAGCCTACACTTGGAAGTATATTGTTTTAAGTAAGTTTGTTTAAGTAATTTTGAACTGATAGCAATACATGCTGTGATATTTTGCTTAGGAAATGAGGGTGAGCAGTGACTGCAGTTAGATTTTCTGTGTTGTGCGAACATATTTTAGGTAGATGGGATACTGCAGCCACTTGGGGAAGTCCTGTCTCTGCCTGTGCATTATTCTCTTCCTTATTTGAGATATAAGCTTTTTGTTCTGTTTCTGACAGATTCAGCCAGTTAAAACTGCATACTTATTGCTTTCCCCGCAGGGCTTTTTTACTCTTTTTTGCAGTATTTCTAGTTCCAAGTTTTATCAGTTTGAAATGATTACTTGAAATTGTTCTCTGTGTTTCCACTGGGTACCTGTTAGAGTAGAATTTAATTTGTGGTGTGTTTTTTCTGTTTTTCTACCTTTGCTGCTTCCTTCTCAGCCCTTACCCATCCAGCTCTTCTCATACCAAGGTGAACTTCCAAATATTTTCACCATCTTGCTGATTCCTTCCATTAGACTCGTCCTGTCTCAGACTACTGCAAGTTAGGAAGAGGAGGAAAGCCCATAAAGTTTTTCAGTCTATAATTAGTTTAAAATTAATTTGCACAGATTGTGTGCAAGGAAGAGAAAGCAATTTTGTCACGAGTTCCTATGGTGTTTACAAGTGTCAGATATTAAAGTCCCAAGAATGATCATAATGCTGTTCTTTTTTCTTGTTCTTAAGAAAAACAAACAAAAAAAATCTAAAAGTCAAGCATGGAGCAATTACTTTGGACTCCCAGCACCTCTGTAAAACAGTTGTCATTACTAGGAGTCCCAATTTGTTGATATGAGTAATAGTGAGGACTATAGATAAGTTTCTGAGCAAACCCTCAGACTTGCCCTCTGCCATCAAAAAATAAATGGTGCAAAGCAATGACACAGAAATCTTTTTTTGCTTACTGATGTGATTCTCTGCAGCTGAATGTACTGTGCATTGTACAGAGAGAAAAGAGTAGTTCTCCATGAGAAGAGGCAATCCCATTGCTGCCCCAGCAATATTCTAGCTCCATTGTTACAGGAAAAGGGACCAGCCAAGAACCAAGGCAGCTGCTTGGAGCGTGGTACCCTGCTGACATTACATAAATAGCAGTAATTACAGCTGGTTTTATGCTAGAGAAGCATCGCTTCAACCACTGGATGGAGCTCAAGTGCCATTCTGAAAGCTGTACTGGTGTCCTTAATAACATCAGTGTTGACATTTGTGTCAAGCAAAGCAAAGGCTTTATTGTCAGGTTATCTCATGCTTTGGAAGGAAGAAACACAGAGAGCCTGCCAATGGGAGAAGGAAAAAGAAAGTCGTTTTTGCATACTAGTGGGGATTTGACAAAGGAGAGATGTTTCGAAGACCCATTTAATTCCAGGTTCTGCTGATCTCATCTATCTGACTTTCCTTATATCCTACTTTCCTTATAGAATTTCCTTTATTTTTCTTCCTGTAAGTATGTTTTTCATTTGTTTTTTTGATTCCATGTGTCTCCTTTCTTACACATGGATCCTGGCATTTTAGCAACAGGTGCTCCAGCCACAACTGAAATATCTTTTTTTCTGACTGCTCAGTCATACAGAATTGGAATAATTAGGGCTTATTTAGGTGAATGACCAGAATGTTTTGGAACAGACGTGCTGGTACAGAGTCTAGCAATGCCTTTCACAGGAAGATAAAAATCAAGGCCCTGTAAGAAGGAAGTGGATGCAGTTGGGATGACCTTTAGAGCGGAACGGTATTGATAACTCAACCTTTGTGTAGACATCATTTAGGGCTCTGGAGGTTGGACAATGGTGAGATTACACCCTGGAGCTGGAGGAAAGTTATTTAAGAGATTAAGGTTTTTTATGATTTAAGGTCTCTAGAGCTAACTAAAGTTAAAAACCTCCTGTTTGAAGAAGATGGGCTTAAACTATCCTGTGTTGTATCTATATGAGATGACCCTCAAGAGTGCCTGGTTTATAGAACCTCTGGCCATCCCTGTCTTGCAAGTGGGAGTAGTAAAGTGCTCACAAGTTTCTCTGAGATGGCAGAGAAAAGCTTGTGTCATTGTGTCTGCCCTCTACTCCCAGTCCTGCAATGCTGAGATAAATCTTGATCTAGGCTTCCATATGACACTGCCATGTTAGGAGCCAAGCTCCTGGTGGTGGGGAAAACAGCAGGCTCCCTCTGCATCTTGCCACTCTCTGTGAATGTCTTCAGTGATGTGAAGAGTATAGGTACAAAGGATCAAGGCTACCAAGTGAGGGGGCACAACTGAGAAGGAGAAGATAGAAAAGGAAGTCTGATTAAGTTTTGTCTTGAAGTGTCTGTTTTTGGGTTTGTCCCTGCATTGATCTGCAAGGGAATGAGGCAAGTAATAGCCCCTTGGGGACCTTCAGGACTTTCCTCTCAATGTCAGCCGTCATTTTCAATCACCCTCTCCCTCCCAGCCATTAATTTTGGCCCAGGATCATGGGGACTTGTCCATCTATCACTCCTAATTGACACTAAATGATCTGTCAGTTTATTGATGAACGGCAGGAGTGGAATTGTCACAATATATTTTACTTTCTAACAACTCCTCCTGACAATTTTACCTTGTCCATCTCACTCTCCTCACATAAATCTCCATTGGCCTCTCATTCCTTCTCTTGGGCTGTTCTGGTGCCAGCCGCCTCCACGCCATCGGCACGCATCAAGGACATCAAGATGGCGGTAAGCTGCAGTGTGCAGGCCTGGGGTGGGCTTTTTCTTCTCTTTCTCTCTCACTCTTTTTTTTTTTTTGTTTTAATAAGCTGGATGTTCCAGGAATGCTAACAGGCTCTTGTCCTCTTGTCCCTCCATGTCATTGGTGGGGTGAGCTCTCCTTGGTGTTTCTGTTTAGACTCAGTAAAGATAACTGGCAGAAAATTGAAACTCCCTTAAAGACAAAAGAGTCATCTGAGAATCCCTGAGTACCACTGCTGTGATGGGGGATTTTTTCCTTTTAATCCTGTACAGTGTGACCAGCAAGGGTTTCCAGCATAGGGAAAATGCTAGACTTATGCCCATA